CCAAAAGCGCTCATAATTTAGACGAAAGTTTTAACATATGGGAGACTACGTTTGTTCTAGGGAATTAAGGATGTTACGGCAAGTAATTATCGCGTCGAAGAGTAAGGCAGTGTACATTTTCAACATGAAACATTATAAAACTAGTGTGTGATGGAGCGAAAAGAGAGGACTGTCAAGATTAATTAATGAATAGATTACCCTTAAGGTGTGAACAGACTTAAGTCTAAGAATATCAGGTAGGCTGTGACGAGAAATGAAGTATGAAGAAATGGATCACTAATGAATGTAATAATAACGGAAATAATTGTAGTGGTTGTGGTAAGATAAGAGAAATGTATCGTACAGGTGTTCCAGGCGGATAGTCATTAATAGTTTGTTGAACTTCTTCGTAAATTTTTCGGCTGAGTGCTCTTTCGTTATGTCTGATAAGAGAGCATATTATGTATTGTCTACCCTTATTAAAGGAATGTGTTCTTATTTGAGTGTAAACTCACTGACGACTAATTGAACGTGGGTTACCTCTTAGAGCCTATAGTTAGGGTTCAGGTAGGATATTTTAATTTAGTCGGCTGGGAGTATCTACCATATCTGATGGCACAATCAGGTTATTAAGTCTTGTAACTAAATGCCTGAATCAGTTTTCTAGGTCCTTCTAATAGCTCTATGCTAAATCTACATGTCAAATCGAACATGAGAGAAAAAGCGGGAAGCGTAAGAACTCTCTGCGTCAAGTTTAGTTTCTGTACAACAAATCGGGGGAAGTTACAGGACTTTAGATGGCCTCTGGCTTCGGAAAGTTTCTGGAACCATAATAAATATGGTAACGACGTAGATAATTGTTCATTCAGAAATAGGACACACGGACAATCACGTGTTTTTGATGTTCTTGATCGTATAAAATGTTTTCGGGTGTTTTCAACGCCCCTCTTGACTTTGTCGAGGAAATCTTTGGATCTCCCTAACACAGGCCACCTCTTATACTTCAATGACTTGGTGATATCTAACCTAGATAACATTTTCGTTCTCATAAGATTTGCCCAATTTGCAGCACGTCTTTGTACTTGCTTGAAGAAATTCGTGTCCGTTTTGTGATGAAGAAAGTCTATAATCTCCCGAGCTTCTTGATACGGATGAATATAGGGTTTTAAGAATTATTGGAAAAACTTAAAGAGCTAGCACGCGTGGCTGTGTTTGACCACATTTAAGAGCATTGCGTGCTTTGACAGCATCCCCCTTGCAGTCGTTTAACGTTTTCGGACTTTATTGGTAAAAGATCTAGATTGCACTTTTTCGGGGTTATGAGTAGGCAGCGACATCAAAGGAGGTAGTGTGTTCAACAAATTTGACATGTTCAGCATTCTTGCCAAGGATTTAAAAAGCTCTCAATCCCTCTCATTATTGGCCACTAAGAAACGTTTCTGAATAGCTTTTACTTCTCGGACATATTCATTGTGTTCTTCCACTTTACTGGCAGTAAATGTTTCTTTATCATATGGAATATTGTTTTACCAAATTTACTTATGCGACTGGCCTGATTAAAGTTGACGAATTTAATGTTGTTGACTCTGAGTCTAGTGGTAAAAATGTAAAGTTATTAACCAAGATTCTAGAAATCAGGAGAAACACGATAACACACCGAATAGTCTACAAGTCTTACTGAAAGTATGGGTTACGACTAAATGTGAATCAACAGCGTTTATGCAATATAACATTGATTGGTAACCAAACTGTATCAGCATTTTGTTCTTTTAATATCTACTTATAGAGAGAGCTAGATCGTTCTTCCATGATTGAAATAGAATAAGAAAGTGGGATTGTAAACATTGAATTTTTTAGTAACCGTATGCTTGTAAGCACACTTAAATTTTCATAAAGCAGTCAAAACCTCTAGCAAAAACGGCACTATTGAACTAGCACCAGAGTGTATGTTTGAAATAGTTAGGAGGACATGGAATTCAGAAGTGTGATATTCGTAGAATTTTCAACTCCGAATCGAAAAGCTCTTGATCTCTTGTAGGAGAAATTTAGTGGGTCACTACTCCTTGGAGTTCATGGAAGTGCATAGTTCTTTAGTTTCTTTAGGACTTTTTCTATTCTTCATCGTCTAACACTCTTTGATCATTGCACTTCAACAGACGCGAAATTAATCAGAGGGAGAATGAGGTTGGAGCAAGATAGACCTCTAAATGCATCAGCTAAAACACACGGGATAAAACCATAAGATTTTATATAGGAACTACCTATTACACCTATAATGGTATATAAATCCACAAAGTAAATAATCCTGTAAATCTTAAAAATTAATTTTGATCTCACCGGTTTTACTGGATACACTCTAGCTAGTGACGCTAGGTTTTCTATCCACACCAGACCACCAATGTGTGAGCCGTGCTAGGCTTCCTTCGCAACAAGTAGTCAGTTTAAAAAATATACTGAATATATAATCGAATTCCATTGTTCCTGAATTCTGATTTGACTGGCTCTGAGATACTCCATCGACAATAACGTCATCAATCGTCGAATCTGTAACATTCTTGCACATATAAGTACTGATTGGTCAGGATCCTGTCTTTTAAACAGAGGTCAAAGTTTAATCCAAATAATACTAAATCACTGTTCACCGATTTCAGTAGTTACCCATGGCTTTCCTTATCGAAAATATAGTTTTTAACAAAATGTATAAAATCTCACATTATTATCAGTATTGTATCGATGTTTTGTGAGGATGCCCGCACTGTTACGTTTACATTTTGCTTTAGTACGTTATCGGAACACAGTTGACTGATATGCTTGTAGCTTACGAACTAAATGTCAAGAAAGCCAATTCAAGTACCAAACGGCTACTCGTATACTACAAGCAACTGACCCAAACGTAATTTTCTAGTCATAATCATAGCAATTGCACAATAGACCTTTAACTATTAGGTTTCCGGAGCGAAATTTTCAAAATGCCAAACATAAATAGCGTGAAGCTAAAGAAGTATAAGGTCAAAGTTATGAATGAACAAGTGCGAAATCTGAGTGAACTAAATATACCCAAAGGAGAGAGAAAGTATGACATTCCATATTACAGTCACTAAGCAGTTGAATACTTTCAACACCATCCAGTGATCAATCAAGTGTAAATCCACCTCAGTCCTACAGGAGGTCAGTCGCGGCCCAGATAACTTAGTTGTAACGTCTCTGACTGTAAAGCTGGGTGAAATGACATTAAACACTTTCGCGAGCAGAAATTTCATTGTGTTTAAGAGTGCAACATAACACGAAAAACCTAAGTCAAGAGTTCCGTTTCAACTACCCCCAGCCACCGTCTTACGTTCCGTCTAATGTTATTGTGAAAGGTTGGCCAGAAGTTCCTAGGAGGCGACATTCATTCTGTATCCTGCAGTTATTTGGGAATGTAGTTTTCTAGCGGCCATATGATTGTATAGGTAAATAAACCCCGAAAACAAATAGTTTTGTGGGTTTTCAACATTGGTCCCAACCTTACTAGTGTTATTGAGCATATCCTAGTCGACGGCGCTCGGTCACATATTTGCACCAAATTATGAATGGGTGCGCTGTACTACTAGCCACACTAGATGAAACGCTTCTCAACATATCGAAAACTTCCAAACATATATCCTCGAAATCCTCCGTTCTTGACTTCTGGTTTGACTAGTTCGGTAGTATTATTTTAAAGGTATTACAGCTAAATGAGTTGTCAGACACTGAATATCTGCAACATTCTTACGATCCTACATTAAGCAATCCTATTGGATATCATGATGCCCAACCTCGAGTTATACGGGCTTTTACCTATATAACTACCACATTATGACGAATAAAAGTGGTAACGTAGCTGTAGAGTCACTCTAAACACACTTTCACCGTCACGAATGAACTGGAACTCAAAGGCAGTACAAATACCATAAACACCTTAACCGGCTGCACCGCATTTAGAATTAAATGCGCAATAGGATGAAAATCAATCATCATTCAATAAGATTATCACCTATCACCAGGGCTTTCGTTCAATGCGTCATTGAACTTATCTAGACTTTGAAAATACCTAGTCTTCCGTCTAGCTTTCAAAATACTGGATATCAAACGATAAGATCCACTAGTATAGCTGTTAAATTAGTGGCGAACACACAAGCTATCTCAAGTCAAGTGGAAAGGTAGATTTTTTTGGGAAAAACAGGATCAAAGAGCCACTGACTAACTTGATTACGAGAGAAGGTTAGGCTAACCACGAAATGTTTCTGTAGTCTTGTAAACAACAGGTGACTAAAAAGTTTTCCAAAGGTCTCCCACTTTAACTTAGAGCGAAAGTAGTAGTTTTAAGGCGTGTCAGTGTGTCATATTTTAGTCTCGTTGAAGAGTGGGATTCTGCAGGTGATGTTTGTAGTATTTTTTTATTCTTTTGAAATGCAGGAGTCCACAACTAGCGCTTATAGGGGCTACGAAGTTACAGCAAGTAGTGGCGAGAATATGGTAGCAGCTTTCAAAGGCCTTAGGAATTGTGGACAGCTGGTCTAACATTTCTGAAGTCGAGTAGAGATACGTTCAGAATATTCCAGAGCATTTGTAATTGTGAGTTTAAATATCAGGCAGTTGTATTAGAGTGGATTCAGTGAGTACGGATAAAATTGATGGGACACCTCTCTGAAGTATCATATAATAGTATACTACGAACTAACTCATTCCCTCCGGCTTGCAGTAATTAAGAGGCAATCAGGCAATGAATTGCTTTATAATGAGTGATGATTTTGGTATTAATGAATTTTCCGAAATTCTTTCATCCAAAACTGACCATCGGAGAGAATTTTCACATAATATCCAGAAAGCAAAGTTCATATACTTTAGTATCTATCATCCGGACGTAACTTAATAAAGCTTTCCCACCCAAAAATAGCACTAAATCCTTCTTCGGTTTTTAAAAAAATGCAATATCTTCGCAACATGAATTGTGAGCAGTAATGTTAGTCACTTGGCTTTTAGCACCTTGGAAGACGGAAGAGGCGTGCCATTCAAAGCTGACGTTACTTTGATTAGTCACGGACTGCAATGGCACTGACTTCTGCTGCTGGACTTGTTTCGCTTTTGGACGACAAGGGTTCTGATGTCAAAGTAAAATCACCCAATTTATTTCACTTATTATCACTCCAGGCATTTGCTCTTAAACGTCTCTATGATATGGTTGACGAGTTTTGGGCTGAAATTTCGGAAGCAGTAATGAAAATTGAAATACTGCATGAAGACTCTAATTTTGAATATAATAAACTGGCTGCTTTACTTGTGTCCAAAGTTTATTATCATCTAGCTGTATATGATGATGCACTTCACTATGCTTTGTGTGCTGAAGATCTTTTCGATCTAAATGCGAATACCGAATTTGTGGAAACCATTATTGGTAAATAACAAATACTAATTACAACTGTATAGCTAAGTGTATTGATAAGTACACCGCTCTTCGAACTGCTCAAGATCAGCTTGTGGATTCATCAGGTTCCGTTGTAACAGAATATTCAGAAGACAGTACTTGGTCTGTTACCAGTCCAACATACAAAAGACTAGAACACGTTGTCAACAAAATGTTTGACCGTTGCTTTGATCACAAACAGTATAAGCAAGCCCTAGGGATAGCTATTGAAACTCGAAGGTATGTTTTTGGTGCAATCCCATCAATGATTTTACATAATAATAACTTCCATCCACCGAACGGGTTCGTCTCATAAATATGTGTCTAGTAGGGCCGCGAAGAAAGTCTATAAAGCTAAGATGCCGAAGGTTGATAATAATAAGAGGAGGAGACAGTTATGCTATCTACATGTATAAAGTTTGTCAAGTTCATCTTGATACTGGTATCTCGTCGAAGTCAATGTCAATCGTGAACTCGTTTGTGAACGATATCTTTGGGGACATTGCCGCGGAAACCAGCTAACTATCCCACTACAACCTGCGAACTACATTGTGTGCATCTCTGTGTTCATTTAAATTTCCATACTTTCAAGTCATTATCGGAGTCCTTTAGGTTATCTGCTTTTTTAGTCAATTTTCTATATAAACTGAGATCTTTCTGTTATTTTGTCTATTCGATTATGAACGTATATAATTCTATAGAATCCATGCTTCCACGTGATTACTGTTCAATAAATTAAGGTAAACAGACTCCGATGACGTACAGTGGATATTAAAGGGGATTATGGCATTAAATGATTACGTTTTACTGCTCACACAGATTTACAAATAAACAGATTTTGGCGAGACCATAATCTATAGACGAATCAATCAGGTTTAAGATAACAGGTCTTGTGTTTTTTTGCGAAACTAATTCACTTGGCTAAACAGAATTTCGGCATTATAGCTGATGTCAGTTTGTGATGTAAACTTTAAATCTACTACATAACCCGACTATCAACCGTAAATATTAGTCCTAATTACTCACTGGTTTATAACCTTCATATAGATGGTCATTCTCAAGGCCTTTTTAGCGTAGCCCAGAGGTCGTCCATTATTTATAGTGTCACCCAGATTTTGAATTGGAAATTTGTTCAATTGGGATGCAAAGTAGTACTTACTCATTAGTGGCGAATGTGTTTTAAAGTTTGGACCATAAATCTTTCATTCGGGCTTCAAATATAGTCAGTTAGTCAGCTGCAACGTAGGACTAGGCACATATATGCTTCGGTCCAAGTTGCCATACCTCATTAGCACAACAAGATGAACACCAGATTCATAGAAGTAGTTGATTCAGTGGTGGTAATATATAAAAGAAAGATTGTATATAAAGAGATAGTACAGGAAGATACAGTTAGTTCCTGGAAAGAAAGACATAAAGCGATTTTAATCACTTAGTTTAAAGGAAGACAGTGAGTGTATGCACCGACGATCGATTCTGAGCCATATCACCAAGAGTCTCCAACCATTGGTTACGATAGTCACGCGGACCCCAACCAGGTAGTCTGCATCTACCAAATATAAGGGAAAGATGGCTCTTATTCTTTAGTCTTCATTTCTAATCTGTAATATGGCTTTCAGTATACTTATGCAACGTAGTAATTTAGGTACTCAAAAAACATATCAATTTTTTCCGGTATCTAACTACTTTTATTTCATCCGAAATCGCTCATGTAACATTATTGGTTTTGAAGCACTGATCCAACTCATCGGGTTGAGTATTTGCTATTCATTACTCGCATATTTTCAACCGTTTGTCACTTTTGTACTGGAATAAAGTATTTTTAGTAAATAAAATATTTTTGTTTCAGGTTGGACATATTTGAGAAGGCGATAATTTCGTCGGATGATCAAGAGGGCATGCTTCGCTATGCTTTTCGTGTTGTGCTCACTTTAATCGACAGTGTACGCCTAAGAAATCGTCTTCTTAAAATCCTAGTTTCTGTTTATATGAACCGAGCTCTTCCCTCCGATGCTGTAAATGTTTGTCAATGCTTGGTACTAATGGATGACCCACAGGTTCGTCAATTTTAAAATATTTTTTCATTTGTCACGTTAGGATTTCCCATGAAATATCATTATTTTTTAAGATTGTCAGCTAATTTATCTAGCGTAAGTTTCTATACGTAGCTAACGGTATTACCTCAGTATCTCAACCATAGTAGGTCAGGAGGGTCTGAATTTAAAGTATGTTAGTTAGAAGTCGTTTACTTTAACCATCAAGCTACTTCAACTAAGCCATTCGCGGATATGTCACTGTAAAGGAAGAGAATAACACTAATAATAACGATTATAAACTTATACATTAACGATGTTGGATTAAGCAATAGTGTGCCATTTAATACTATTTCACATCAACGTAGATTACTCTAGATTTTAGACATACCAACTAATATGACCTTTCTTAGTCATAATCTACACATATATTTGACCTCGTTGGTTATTCATTTGTTATATCCATTGCTCTTATCTGAACGTATATGCGTGAGTGTTTATCACTTTCTATCATGTCTTAAGCTTGTTTTCTGTCTGACTTAAAATATTTATTCACATTTCATTAAATTAAGTTTGCACGTTTGACTTTTTCAATCCGGCTTCTTTTCTCATTATCTGGGTCAGTGAATGTATGAAATATATGTATCCAAAAACCATCCTCTTATTTGACCTGTTCTGTTATTTACTGACGTAAACCAAGTCTATGAATATGTAAAGGTTGATGCAGGATATATATTTCATCAACATCATCCGATCATACGGAGTCAGATTGCGCGATATTAATTGTCATTTTTTATCTAGGGCCTAATTATGGCTCGATCGGAACATATCGATAGTCGATATGTATCAACATAAATGTTGGTACAAGGAGACACCGAATACATATGCGCGACGGAAGTCCCTTGGTTTGTGCGTGGGCTGGGATACTGCCCGGGTACCCAAACCGAAGCAAGTGATTTTCTTAGAAGGCCACACTCAGAGCCTCCGATCTAAAGGTCTGATCCACAAGGCAGTGGAGCTACTTCAGAAGAGGCAGTCCATGGTAGCCAGTGACCAACGATCGGTTCATGCGCCATTTGTTTCTTCAGGATACTGGAGCCAGTGTGCACCATTGGTTTGGAATCAAGGTTTTCCAACTACCTTAGGTGGACCCTCCGTGTCCACGGATCCGGTTAAAGCGCCGGATATTCGTTTTTTTCTCCACTCAATTTCGTAGAAAACACCGCCGCGAGGAGGTAGTGGGTAGGACTTCCGTGGCAGTGGCTGTATATACGTGGCCGTGTGAGCATTTCGAGGGAAAGAGCTGACTCTCCACACTCTCGGCCGTAGCAGGACATTTGCGTGCTGGGAGGAATTTTCGAGCAACCAAGCCAAAACTTGATGTCAGTCCATAAAATCAACTGTCAAACTGAGCCATGTATTTAGGTTCAGATTATCTGGTTGTGGTTCTCGTAATTATTGTAACCGGTGTTTAAGGACTTTAGGTGTCATGGATCAATATTGTCCGCAATGGTAAAGTTGTGTTAACTCTTTGTGTACACTTGGATCTTGAGTTTATTAATTATCTTAAAGGTTATTTTGTTCCACGAATTCATACTACTTCGAACCATAGTTTTTATCCCTAACTTTTTCTTCTATCACAAATCCTGTTATTACTTATACTACTCTGACATCCCGTTGTATTGATGTATTGTGACAACTTAAAATAAATGTACCAGGTTCTGTGTTGCATGCGACTTGTTGACCATTTTATTCTGTTTTTTCAGGAAAATTTTAGTTAAAAGATTAACTTTAAGAACCAAATACCATTAGATTCTGATAATATAAATTTAGTCAGTTTTCATGTCGTTCATTGTGTTAACAGTTTAAGAACATATTTATTGGAATTCGTTAAGAAAATAATTGTCCTACTTTTGTCATTGGTCAGTAAATATATTAATCATTGAGTGGAATTTCAAGTTCTAATCATAATTCGTATGTCATCATGTAATGTGGTATTCTCATATGTGATCAAAAGCACAGATGTATCATAATTTCATTAAAATGTGGTAATTTACTCTGGTTGGTAAAGACATACTTTCACTAGCCTCCCGGGTTCCTCAAATTTTTCGTTTCATTATGTACAGATTAATCCACTAAGTGGTATATATTTACTCTCATTTCAGGCCACGGCAGATACTCTGGAACACTTGTTACTACAATCACAAGAGGCAGCCGTAACAGCATATCAAATAGGTTTTGATTTGTATGAAAATGCAACCCAAAACTTTCTTCAACGTGTTTCAGCCTCTCTTGCTCGGAGCTCAAAGTTGAGTCATATAATGAGCTTAATTGAACGTGATAAAAACTCTGCAAAAAGTTCAAAAACGCCAGAAGGTTCAGCTTGTACCACCGTTGAAACTACAGACGGTGATAAAAATAAATCAGACAACAAGGAAGCAGAAGAAGCAGTGGAAACTGCATCAGCTAGTGAAACAAACAAAGAGACTGAGATACCTACAGATGAACCACTGTCAGAATTAGATAAAGAAATTAAAAGTCGTCTTATGCACTTGGTCAGTATTTTATCAGGAGATAAAGTAAGCATTGGAATTGTACATAATTGGTTTTATTGTATTATTAGAAAGCTAATTTATTGTTAGACAGTATTTAGTTCGACAAAGTGGTAAGGTGTATTATACTGACTAAATAGGGGTTTTCACTCGATGCGACAAGTATATCCTTTTTGTTATGCTTATCATCGCAAAATGTTTTTTGAACTGCCATTATTTTTGTGTAAATATTTCTTATTGATGGGAGTGGTTTCAAGCACTCATTAACCACATTATGATAAACAGATATACTAAGCTTTAAACTCCACTCGACCTTTTTGTAACCCTTTCTTAATAACATCCAGATTCTTGAATTTTCAACTGATTTATGCAAGTATTTATATACATTGACAGATAAAATCAAGGATGTATAATCCTAAGGCTCTTCAGCACTTCACAAACTTACCAACAGATGTAATTCGAAAGTGGTAACGAATTTTTATAATAATTCTAGTTAGCGAATATATTTTATAAACTAAACCACTTTAGATGCATAATTTGTGTACACTTTAAATATATTAGGTTCTTTAACACCCTCCTATTGATTATGTGTTGCACAAAACTGAATCTGTGATTTTGTCATAACTGGTTTGTCGTTGTAAAACATCTTCAAACGTTGGCCATTAAGTGTGTTTCGAATGTTCGAACTCGAAAAAAAGCCGTCACTTTCAGTATTCATTTCTACACAATAAACCAATTTTACTTTGACCAGGTGGTGATTTTATTCACTTAATAGACAGTACTTAAGAGCAGTATTTTATATTTATCATGACTCAGATTAACGTCATTGATCTAAAACAGTATTAAAACAGTCACCAAGTAATTTTCAAATTAATTGGTTTGATCGCATGTCATGTTCATTTGTGTAACGGAGTGGCATCACTAGATATCATATGACAGGTTTGTATGACTAACGATCCATGTACTGAATTGTCAATATAATCAAGCGCAAGGATATTTAAAAAATGATCATACCATGGTGAAGTACAAGTGTATAATTTAACTTTACCATTCCAACGTACACTGGATGCACGCTTTTTTATTACTATAGTGATTAGTAGATATTGTTTTAAATACTTAAAAATTCGATTTTTCTTATATTCAGGTAATCGAATTGCACCTCCAATTTTTGATACGAAATAATAAAGCTGACCTTCGACTACTTGAACGCATACGTGATGAGGTACGACACTCCGTGACGCATAATGCTACCGTTATTGCAAATGGTATTATGCATTGTGGAACAACATCAGATCAGTTTTTAAGGGATCATTTAAATTGGTTAGGAAAAGCTGTAAATTGGGCTAAATTTACTGCTACTGCTACCCTTGGGGTTATACACAAAGGTAAATATTTTATTATTTTACATTTATGGGAGTGTACCTACCGGGATAATAATAAACATTGACTTCAGTACTGATATAGTTGATCGATATTTTGTCCAAGTTTTCACTGACAGTTATAACTTCTGATTAATGTCTTGCTGTTGTTTATTCTTTCAGGTCATGAAAAGGAGGCTTTACGTCTTATGTCTGCCTATTTACCCAAAGATGCAAGCGGTTCATCTGGTTCCGTGTACACTGAAGGTGGTGGTTTGTTTGCTCTAGGCTTGATTCATGCTAATCATGGTGGAACGATGACAGGTAAGTTCTTGAAATTAATCACAAGTATTTAAAAGACATTTTAATTACTTTCTGTGTAAAAATATCTTCATCTGTAAAATTTTACCATGTATCAAACTTATGTACCTTGTAAACATTTACTGGCTCATAAGATAAGCTAGCTGTATCTATGTGACTAGTTTTCTACTTTTTCATATGGCCTTACTTGGGGTACTTGGATTATTAACTTATACATATCGGCGGGTATTTTTGCGAATAAATTATTCTGGTACTAATTAGTTCCAATAGTTTTGTGCTGTATTAGATTGTCTCACATATTTTACGTGTATAATGCTTGTCGTTTAATTTTTATTTAGCTTGTATTCCCGATCTGTTGATATAGCTCTTTCGCGGCATTTTATATCCCTGATAATCTGCGATATTTAGTGGTGGAGATACATTCATTATTCTGCATAAAGTTTTAAACACGAGATTATTTCATACTTTTATATCGACAGTTTTTCCCTCTTAATTTTGGTTCTTCACTACCATTTTCTTCATTAATTTTGTCACCCTCGATGTTAATTTTTTCTCTCTACGCTGTGAACCTTGTTCATTTTCGTACTGATGCAAACTCATCCTAAGTTTCATGACGTTGTTTATCTTTCTATCTTTTAATTATATTCTTCCATAACGACTTAAATATTATTTATTTCTTCAGAATATTTGCTCAATCAATGCAAGGAGGCTACTGCAGAACCTGTCCGGCATGGTGCATGTTTAGGCCTTGGTTTAGCTGCTATGGGTACCGGTAGAGAGGACGTGTATGATCAAATTAAACTTAATCTTTATCAAGATGATGCAATTACAGGTAGACTTGTTTACAATATTTTCTTTGTTATTATTCTATCCATTCGATTGTATTCGACGTCAATTATCCATTATTCATAGTTCTTAGAACCAAATAACGTTAATGCAGTTAGTTCTTCACAATGATTTATCATACATCCAGAGTTTTATCGTGATTATAGGAGTGCTAACCACAGAAGCCTATTTCCTAATTTCATTAACAAGTAAACTTTCATCTCAATTTTGTTTTATTACATAAAACTGAACTATTTTTTTCCTATATTTTTAACAACAAGTGAATGTATTTAATCTGTGGTTTTGCAAAAGGCTTCTACTCATAGCGTGATTTAGTTGATTAACCGACTTATTTAGTATCTTTATTTATTATTATTTTAATTTATCATACTGTGTTTGTCTCAAGGTGAAGCAGCGGGTATTGGTATTGGTTTAGTCATGTTAGGAACTGGGTCAACACGAGCTATTGAAGATCTACTTGGTTATGCTAAAGAAACAGCACATGAGAAGATTATACGTGGCGTTGCTTTAGGTATTGCACTTGTCATGTACGGTCGAGTTGAAGAAGCTGACGAACTTATTGATAATCTAATTATTGTAAGTTTTTTATTCACTATGTTGTGTAAATGATAGTTTTGCATTTTTTGCTGGGTAAATTTTAATTAAAATGGTAAGTAAAACCGTTGGTCGATAGCTGTTGCACAGTGATGCGAAATAAAAACAAATCTAGTTGATGTAAATATGTAATACTGGCTGAGGACCGTTATTTTGACGAAGCTATCCACTAGTATGATGAGTAATTTTTTGTCTTCCTTTAGGATCTCAGTGTAGTCAACAGATCATGGTTGAAAGAGCTTTACCATCATGTTACTAGATTGCCATTTAATCCTTAATACTTAAGTCTATTCGTCTTACAATGGGACTATTATTCTTATATATGTTATATGTCCTTCCTATCGATGTGGACTATCCTGAAAATCATAATCTATCGATAAAAATCCTATGTTTCATCTAACATCAACAGTTATTCAGCAAATGGTTGGTTTGGATACTTATCGTTTCAACGAGTGGGCAGAGCCCCTAATGGTCTTTATCACTAAATGAAGAACTTTTAAATTTGGATAAGTATGTGTCAGAATTTTATTCCATATTTGTCAATTGTTTTTGTCAAGTAGACAGATTTACAGTATGTCATTTATTCAATCAACCTATATCATTGGTTATTCCAAACGCTTCTTTGCATGAAAACTTATTTCTGTTTGTTTTCCTTCAAAATATAGGATAATGATCCCATTTTACGTTGGTCTGGTATGGCAACAATTGCAATGGCTTACTGTGGGACTGGTAATAATCAGGCAGTGAAACGTTTACTCCACGCTGCAGTCAGTGACACCAATGATGACGTTCGACGATGGGCTGTTACAGCTCTTGGTTTCGTTCTATTCAAGTATGTTGTGTATAAACGTTTTCTCGGAATACTTATCGGTTATTTGTTCAATAAATCTTTCCGTCTAAAAACTTTAACGCCAGAAAAAAATGATTTCGAAGTTCACTGTTTTAAACGATATTGTCATTAGTCTTCTTTCCCACCAAGCCATTGTACTAAGCATTCCTACCTTAAAAATAAAGTTAATTTCACAGTAACACGCTTTTTTTAATCACCTTTTAGAAATCCCGAGCAGGTCCCATCACTAGTGTCTTTACTCGTTGAATCCTACCATCCTCATTTGCGCTATGGTGCTGCTATGGCTGTAGGAATAGCCTGCGCGGGAACAGCTCTTAAAGAAGCTGTTAGTTTATTAGAAACTTTACATGAAGGAACAGTGCCATTTGTTCGTCAAGGTGCCTTAATTGCTAATGCAATGGTATTAATTCAACAGAATGCGGTTACCTCCCCAAAGGTATGAGTCATAAAGGTGATCATTTCATTGTGCTCTTATTTAAAAACTTATATATTGTCAATTTTGTTACTTTTCATATTGTCTTATCATTCACGGATATTTGTTTGCAGCTGGTGTAACAAAACGTTATTCTTAGTGAAATTCCCATTTAGCTTCAAGATTAGTGCGCTTCATCAGAGCATATCCATGGAAGTCCATGGGCTTTTACACCTGCGACTCTATAAAATTTCATACTTACATCCAAGATGCATTTGCCTGTTGAAGGATTGTTTTTGTGTAAGCTTTTGTTTGAGAATTTTATCAACCACAATATAGACTAATGTCTCAATAGTGGTTTACCAGACTTAAGATCACAATTAAATAATGTCTCTACTGATTTAGCATTGATTATGGCTTATATGTCAACCATCATATAATTAATGGAGTGCAGTAATTTGTTATTTTACATTATCTGGCTAATTCTCTTGTAGTATCATTTATAAGAAAATAGTTTTATATATGGACGAATTCTAATGAATGAGTCTTCTTGTTAATAAAATTAATTTGTATGTATATTACAAAGAAATACTACATCGCGATGATATTTACTAACCAAAGTCAAAATTTTACTACTCAAGTCTAAACGATAAAATTAGATCTGAACAATTAAACCATATAATTTAATAATGAATTAGTTTTATACATTTTGATTAGAAATGGTTTTCTAATTACTTACTTAATACTTACGCCTGTTACTCATCGTGGAGCATAGGCCGCCCACTAGCACCCTCCATCCAACTCTATCTTGGGCTATCTTTACCAGTTGTTATTCATTCGTTTCCTATTTGCTTCTATTTCCCGACGTAATGTGCTCTTTGGTCTTCCTCTTTTCCGCTTCCCTTCAGGATCCCATGTTAGGGCTTGCCTCGTGATGCAGTCTGATGATTTGCGTAATGTATGTCCTATCCATTTCCATCGTCTTTTCCTAATTTCTTCTTTAGCTGGAAGCTGGTTTGTTCTCTCCCACGGTAGGCTGTTGCTGATGGTATCCGGTTAATGGATGTAGAGTATCGTGCGCAGACAACTATTTATAAATACTTGTACGTTCTTGATGACGGTTGTAGTAATTCTGCAAGTTTCAGCTTCGTACAGTAAAACTGTCTTGATGTTCGTAATGAAGATTCTGATTTTGATACTGGTTACCAGTTGTTTTGAGTTCCATATGTTCTTCAATTGTAGGAATGAGGCCCTTGCTTTGTCAATCCTCCTTGTTCATCGATGATGCTTCCCAGGCATGTGAAGGATTCCAAATCTTCCAGAGTTTCATCATCAAGTGTGATTGGGTTAGTGCTCTCCGTGTTGTATTTCAGGATCTTACCTTTACCCTTGTGTATGTTGAGGCCTACTGATGCAAAGGCTGCTGTTACACTAGTTGTCTTCACCCTGCATCTTTTCGTGTATATGCGATAGGAGGGCTATATCATCTGAGAAGTCCAAACCGTTTAATTGGTTTTGAGCTGTCCACTGTATTCCGTGCTTTCCCTCAGATGTCGAGGTCTTCATAATCTAGTTGACCACTAGAAGAAAGGAAGGGGGAGAGTAGGCAGCCTTGTCTGACTTCGGTCCTTACTTGGAATGCATCTGTCAACTACCCTCTATGCACGACTTTGCACTGTAGTCCGTCGTATGAGTTCCGGATAATGTTGATAATCTTCTCAGGAACTCCATAGTGTCGAAGAAGTTTCCATAATGTCCTGCTATATACACTGTCAAACGCCTCATAGTCAATGAAGTTGATGTATAGTGAAGAGTTCCACTCAACTGATTGTTCAACGATGATTCGTAGTGTCGCGATTCGGTCTGCGCATGACCGATCCTTATGACATCCGGTCTGTTGGTTTCGAAGTTGGATGTCTACTGAATCTTTCATCCGGTTCAGCAACACTCTGTTGAAGACTTTTCCTGGTACTGACAGTAGTGTGATGCCTTTGTAGTTTTCACATTTGCTCAGATCTCCTTTCTTTGGTATCTTGATGAGGTATCCTTCTTCCTAGTCAGTTGACACTTGTTCTTCCCCCAAATCTTCTTGAATAGAAGGTGAAGCATGTTTATAGTTACTACAATGTATGACTTCAGTGCTTCAGGTGGTATATTATCAGGTTCTGCTGCTTTCCCACTCTTAATTTGTCTGATGACCATCCTGATTTCTCCTATCGTTTGTGGAATGACATCTATGGGAAGGTATGTGTATGCTGCTTCGATGTCCGGTGGATTCAATGGATCTGGTCTACTCAATAGTTCCTCAAAGTACTCTGCCCATCTGTTCCTTTGTTCTTGAATTTCAGTAATTGGCCTGCCTCCTTTGTCCTTGACCGGTCTCTCTGATTTACTTTATCTCCCTGCTAGTTTCTTCGTCGTATCATATAGTTGTTCCATACTTCCTTTTCTTTCAGCTTTTTTCGCCGTTGTTGCTAGTTCTTCCATGTCTTTCTGCTTGTCGGCTTTAATACTCTTCTTCACTTGCTTGTTTGCTTATTCGCTGGATTCAAATTCCAGTGTGCTAACCGCTGCACTACGAGGCTACGGTTTTCTAATTATTGAACAGTTAATACGTTGTTTTTTTGTTGCGATTCCGACCATTTTAATTATGTATTGTATCATCGAGTGGCGTTAACTTAAATAAATAATCTTTCGAAGTTCTTTTAACTATTCGAAATGCGTAACAGATCATTTCAGACTGACACTTTAAACAGTGAGGAAGTGGGTAAACAGTTAGCTCAATTCAAACCATTTCCTATGTAATTCTAACTTTGCCCAACGAATGAGTAATGAATGAGGTTTGATATTGAAATTAAATGTTCTTTTCTTTTAGTCTGTGGATTTCCGTCAGAAATTGTTGAAGATTATCGGGGATCGTCATGAAGATTTATTGGCCAAATTCGGTGCTATCATAGCATGTGGTATTTTAGATGCTGGTGGATGTAATATGACTATTTCATTACAAACACGTACGGGTACGTCCAATTTCTTTCAAATCATTATATTTGATGACCTCCATTTGGTACCACAGTTATTATTTTGGGTTCTTTTTGGTTAATTGTAGTTGATAAAAGACTTCTACTTCTTTATCACAAGTCTTTAACCATCGGATGGATTGACTGATTAACTGATAGTCATCATAAATCCTGATTTATCAGATATCACATTCTAGGACTCTAAATCAGTGATAGCTTACTTACTTACTTACGCCTGTTACTCCCAATGGAGCATAGGCCGCCGACCAGCATTCTCCAACCCACTCTGTCCTGGGCCTTCTTTTCAAGTTCCATCCAATTCTTGTTCATTTTTCTCATATCTATCTCCATTTCTCGGCGTAATGTATTCTTTGGTCTTCCTCTCTTCCTTCGACCTTGAGGGTTCCATATGAGGGCTTGTCTTGTGACGCAGTTCGGTGCTTTCCTCAATGTGTGTCCTATCCACTTCCAGCGCTTCTTCCTGATTTCTTCCTCCACTGGGATCTGATTTGTTCTCTCCCACAGTAGGTTGTTGCTAATAGTGTCCGGCCAACGGATCCGAAGTATTTTGCGTAGACAACTGTTAATAAACACCTGTATCTTTTGGACGATGGATTTCGTAGTTCTCCAGGTTTCCGCCCCATACAGTAGAACTGTCTTGACATTTGTATTGAAAATTCTGACTTTGGTGTTGGTTGCTAATTGTTTTGAGTCCCAGATATTCTTCAGTTGTAGATATGCTGCTCTTGCTTTGCCAATCCGTGCCTTCACATCTGCATCAGATCCACCGTGTTCATCGATGATACTGCCCAAATATGTAAAGGTTTTTACATCTTCCAAAGCTTCTCCGTCAATTGTGATTGGATTGGTACATGTTGTGTTGTATCGAAGAATCTTGCTTTTCCGTTTTTGTATATTGAGGCCTACTGCTGCTGAGGCTGCAGCTACACTGGTTTTCTTCTCCTGCATTTGTTGTTGTGTGTGCGATAGAAGAGCCAGATCATCTGCGAAGTCTAGATCATCCAACTGCATCCTAGCTATCCACTGTATCCCGTGCTTCCCTTCAGATGTTGATGTATTCATGATCCAGTCGATCACCAGGAGAAAGAGAAAGGGTGAGAGTAAGCAACCTTGCCTGACACCGATCTTTACTTCGAACGACTTTGTCAACTGTCCTCCATGAACGATCTTGCAGTTTAATCCATCATAGGAATTCTGTATGATATTGACTATCTTCTGAGGCACGCCGTAGTGTCGAAGAAGCTTCCATAGGGTTGTTCTGTCCACGCTATCAAATGCTTTTTCGTAGTCGATGAAGTTGATATAGAGTGATGAATTCCATTCAATTGATTGTTCCACAATGATCCGTAGAGTTGCGATTTGGTCTGTGCACGATCTATCCTTACGGAATCCTGCCTGTTGGTCTCGAAGTTGGGCGTCTACGGAGTCCTTCATCCTGTTTAACAATACCCTGTTGAAGACTTTTCCTGGTATTGAAAGAAGAGTGATTCCCCTGTAGTTGTCACAGTTGCTGAGATCGCCTTTCTTTGGTATTTTCACTAGAAGTCCTTCTTTCCAGTCTTTTGGTACCTGTTCCTCATCCCAGATCTTTTTGAAGAGAGTTTGGAGTATCCTTGCAGTTGCCGCTACGTCTGCTTTCAGTGCCTCTGCTGGAATGCTGTCTAGTCCTGCTGCTTTGCCACTCTTGATTTGTCTGATAGCCATGCTGATTTCTTCAATTGTCGGTGCGCCAACATCAATTGGGAGGTCCGTGAGTGCTGCTTCGATGTTGGGTGGGTTCAGTGGGGCTGGTCGATTCAAGAGTTCTTTGAAGTGTTCTACCCACCTGTTTCGTTGTTCTTCAATGTTGGTGATTATCTTGCCTTCCTTGCTTTTCACTGGTCGTTCTGGTTTACGGTGATTTCCGGAGAGTTTCTTTGTTGTTTCATACAGTTGTCTCATGTTTCCTTCTCTGGCAGCCTTTTCCGCCGTCATTGCCAAATCTTCCACATATTTACGTTTGTCGGTTCTGATGCTCCTTTTCACTTGCTTGTTTACTTCTGTGTATTCAGCTTGTGCCTTGACTTTTTCTGCTCTTGTTCGACTGGTATTGATTGCTACTTTCTTGTTCCTCCTTTCTTGAATCTTATCCAGTGTATCGACCGTGATCCAATCCTTGTGATGGTGCTTCTTTTGGCCCAGAACCTCATGACATGTTGAAGTGATTGCCTCTTTTATCTCTTTCCAGTTGCTCTCCATAGTAGTTCCTTCTCCATTGAGTAGATCATGAAAGGCTTGGAACTTATTGCTGAGGGTTATCTTGAATTTATTGAGTTTGTCATTATCCCGAAGAAGAGTCGTATTAAATTTTTGTGATATTGTCCTCCCCGTTGTCCAGTGCCTCTTGAGTTTCAATTTCATCTTGGCGACCAGCGAGTGATGATCTGATGCTATATCAGCTCCTCTCTTTGTTCTCACGTCCTCCATCGTCCTCCTGAACTTTTTGTTGATGCAGATATGGTCGATTTGGTTCTGTGTGCTGTGATCCGGTGAAGTCCATGTGGTTTTGTGTATGCGTTTATGTGGGAATATAGTCCCGCCTATGACCAGTTTATTGAAGGCACATAGATTTGCAAATCTCTCACCATTTTCGTTCCTTTCTCCCAGTCCGTGTCGTCCCATGATCTCTTCATATCCAGTGTTGTCAATTCCAACCTTGGCATTTAGGTCTCCCATCAGAATAGTCAGGTCTTTTGTTGGGCACTTCTCGACGATTGACTGCAGCCTATCGTAGAATTGATCTTAAGCGTCTTCGTTGTAGTCATTGGTAGGCGCGTAGCATTGGATGACGTTCATTGTAATCCCCGTTTTCTTTGTTTTGAAGGAGGCTTTGATGATCCTTGGTCCATGAGATTCCCATCCTATAAGTGCATTTTGTGCTTGTTTGGACAGCATCAATGCAACTCCTTGTGTATGTGGGGCATTTTCTTGTTCATGTCCGGAGTATAACAGCAGCTCCCCTGAAGCTAGTCGTTGTTGTCCAACTTGCGTCCAATGTGTTTCACTGATCCCAAGCACCTCTAAATTGTATCTCCTCATTTCTGCAGCAATTTGGAAAACTCTCCCAGTCTCCCACATTGTGCGAGCATTCCATGTACCTAAATAAATGGTTGCTCTGGTTGTCAGAAGGGGCATCGGCCTCGTGACTTCCGAAGAAACTCGGCTTTCATCATGAGGCGTCATAATTCTTCTAAACGAAGACCTCCTGACTCCCAGGGCAGAGTTTAAATGGTTTGAATAATTTTTTCTGGTTAGCGTTTTTTTAGCGAGTTAGTTTTCTACGGGATGGGGTCGCTAACCCCATGCCCAACCCTCCTCCTTTATCCGGGCTTGGGACCGGCAGTAGCCCCGGAAAGGGACTCCAGGCGGAGTTAAATCAGTGACAGCACTTCTTGCTAATCCACTGTTTTGTAGTAAATGTTGTCATAGTAAAATATATTGTCCTTTATCACACTCTGAATTAGAAAAAACTGTTATGTGCCGGTATCAAGCACACCAGTTCTCAAAAATACATACCTGGTTTAAAGTATGAGATCACCAGTGTAATAACAAGATTAATCGCGATTGAATAGTTTAATTGAAGTAGAATACAAAAACTTTAAGACTATTCGATTTCTTATGACTCTTCAGCTGATATGGATCTCGAAGTAAATTGATAACTGAAATATCCAGTCAGCTAACAATAATATAGGATCTGACATAAAGTGCATCATCCCAACCTGCCAAACTTCATATTAATACAACGACGGGAAATTAACAATATAAAAAGATGAAAAGTTAAAATTTATGATGGTTAAAACTGTAGAAATAAAATAAGTTAAGTTGGTAAATAAAAAGTATCATATGCTATTTTAACTCAGGAAATAGTGGAAGATATAGCATAACTCCTTCCGAATTGTAATCATTGAAAGTTCCCTGAAAACCTTAATCAAACAATACCATTTATTTCAACATGAATTATCGAATTGATAAAAATATTGCAGATTGTAATTTAGTGTTGTATAATAGGTTTGACTGTGTTGTGTAGTAGTTTTTTATCACAACATTGACTTTTATTGATAATAATAATATATTTATACTATCCCAATAATGGAAAAATTAAATTTTCCGACGTTTTGTGACTCTGTGTAAGCCACTTCTTCAGCAAAATAAATCGACTAAATTAGTCCAAGTTTAAATAATACAGAGAAATAAAGCAAAAATATTTCGTACAATCAATCAAAAAACAAATCTGACCAAGTCAATGTCATATCATTCCGGTAATTTATGTGAGACATGTTTGTTTATTAGTGTGTGGATGAAAAATGTGACATTGTAATGTGAGTTGAATTTGTATGTAGGATAATAGTGTGAGATGTGACTAGAATCATATGTGGTAACTCGGATAGATAGTTCAAGTGGGATGAATAATAAGGCCTTTTCTATTGAGGGTAGTAGGATTTAGCAATTTATAGAAAGCTTCAGCTAGTCACCTTTCTTTGTAGTTGGTAAAACCTTTTTGTATTATTTTGATAATTTTAATATTGACTTGATGGTTGTTAAGAATGTTATGCACTGCTATTGCCAATCTAATTTAGAGTTTTTCAAGTTCTACAAGATTATTAAGCAGTTTTTTATATACACCTAATATATTCTGTGCTTCATGTCAAGATTTCACGAGATGACTCTCCAATATAGAAGGCATTACAATTGATACATACTAGTTTGTTTATTTATTCTCTGAAAAAGTGGTTTACGCTGACCTGCTAAATGTCAGAAAATTTGATTTTTCTACTTATTGGGATATTACAAACCTATCATTTCTACTAATAACATTCTACCCAATGCTCAATTTATTTTAAATTATAAAAGTCAAACCAACAACATTGATTTTGTTATTAACTTCTCACATTTTTTCTCTGTTCATTTTCTATTTGGTATCACGTAGGCAATGCAAATATGGCAGCGGCTGTCGGTCTTTTAATCTTTCAGAATTTCTGGTTTTGGCATCCATTAACCAATTTTATCAGCCTAGCATTTACACCAACTGCATTAATAGCATTGAATAAAGACTTGAATATGCCAAAGATACAGTTTCGTTCAAATGCTAAACCGTCGACTTTTGCTTATCCTCAACCATTGCGTTAGTTAAATTCTGATTATTTATTTATTTCTTGTGTTATATTTACAAAATATCTTCTGGAGTCAACAAATGTCTAATCTATTATCTGTTATTAAAGAAAAATGACAATTCAGCGAAGAAAACTTTTTCTCTTCAACAATTTCATTTATATATATATATATATATATATATATATATATATATATATATATATATATATATATATAGTGAAAAATATCAAGGTGAAGATAATTGTGCACTTAAATAAAATAATTGAAAGTTGCAATAACGGCTAATTAGTAGTTGTGAACAATGTTGTAAAGAAAACGATAAGTTATGGAAGGGAAAAAGAAAGATTAAGACCATGGTAGAAAAAGGTATTGAACACATTGTTTTTGTACATGAAAGTTAGGCTTGGATTTGTGGATAACTATAATTTCTGCTGTACATATCTCTTTCATTTTTGTTCCTATCGGACCGATTTTTCTGACTTCATGAATAATTTTGAAGGTGGATTCTGTTTAAGTAGACTGACCAGAATTAATTAGTTGCTCCAGAATTGAGCGTATGACTGACTTTTGTAATCCTTTATATAGCCAGACAGAGTAATTTTAGTTGTGATATTTCACTAGGCACTAGGTAATCGTTCTAAACACATAGATTTCTAGTATATTGGTTTTGTAGAGTTAAACATATACACCATTGGATTTCGACTCTGTGATTTGAGAGCTGTGTTCACATGCGAGACTGAAGGTCCACGATGTGGTCGTGGGTGCACTTTTCTAAAGAGTCCCATGCTAGGACGAAATGGCTGTTTACTGATTTTTAGTTTTAAATGGTGGTCTAACGTATATTTCTGTCAATAATGGAACAACAAAAGACGTGAAAATTATATTTAGATTATCTCAGCAAATATTCATATACGTTATGGAACATTATGTATCCAACTAATTTCCCTCAGTTAATCCATCCAGATTTCAATCAGTGTATTCGAAACCCTCCTGGAATTGTATTTATAAACTTCGTATAACAGACATACATAGCTCAGATCCTAATATATAAATATTACATCTGAGTACTAGGTTATTATGCAGATAATTAGTAGTAGAGTCATGTACTTGTTAATGCACATCTGTGTATAGTATCATATTGCCTTTTTAAAAGGAAAATAAACAAATAGTGTTACGGATCGATTGGAACTTCGATTATTTTTACTAACATTTGGTTTATCTGCAAATTTCGATGTTAAACGTAATTCAGGTTAACTTAAGCCCAATTTATTTTATACAATTATCAAATAAAGTTGTTGCTTGGTATAGAATAGATGGAATGTGGTTAGCACTGGAGTCCAAGACGCGGAGACTGACAAGTAGTTATAGATATCTGGAAGCTGGAATTCAACTTTAGTTATAATATGAATTCAATCACTCAGTGGTAACGAATATATGAAGGCCCATAGCCAATTCAATTTTTTCAACATATGGTTTTCTTCATTCCCGAATCTCCAAAACTATGTCATCAAAATTAGGAACTGATGCAAGTTAGACAACCACTAAAAACCTGGAACCACTGTATAACCGTCTAGCCCTAGCATGGGACTCATCAGTAGTGCACACTCACTACTCTGAAACCGGAAGTCGGTCTCACGCACGAACGCCTAACCTATAGACCAATGAACTGGAATACAATAATGTACAAGTCTAAGTTGAATTAATCGGTTCGTGATCTCGATGAAATTCAATACTCTCCATAATTCTTTACTGAATATGATACACCTGTTATTGTAGACTTTCTATAAAACAATGTTAAATCGTGCCATATTGATTTGCTAACGTTTTTTGCAATTATTCTACTCTTCGAATTTTTAGAACAGGAAAAAGAAAAGAAACGAGAAAAAGTAGAGACAGCTATTTTAAGTATTACAGCTAAACAACGTAAAAAGGAGGCTGATAGAAAACAACACAAAGAACAACAACAGTCGACAACCACCGGTGGAGCACAAACTCGCAAAGATTCTCAACCTAAAGAAGTTAAGATGGATATGTAAGAGTATATTGCATTAATGATTTTGATAATACTTTCAGTTTATTATCATAGGTAAATCAATCCTGGAAAAGTCTCTTCTTCTAACTGGTAAAATTTGAATGATGATAAGTGGCAGTAGTATTCTTTCTGCACAAACTTAATTGTTGTTTATCCGATAAATGTTTTGGCGATAAATTACCATAACCAAAAACAAACCACATTCGTAGACATTTCAACGATTAAAGTTAAGTAGTTCTGTCGTTTCATAGGGCAATTTAATCCTAATTTATTAACTCAAAGTAATTAAAGTTTATCATTTGAATATAGGTTTCGTTACGAACTGACATCAGATGAAAAACCGACTTTCATAATAGAATTTATTGTATTCAGCCTCATTGTAAATCTATTTCCTTTTGCTTTATGGGAGTATATTTAATTAAGGAATGATACATTTCAGACATCAGGCTACTTATCATTATTATTGAACTCAAAATACTTATGTTAATGTTTATAAAGTTTTAATCTATTAGCCGTCGGTTGATCATTAATTTAAATATTCAAGTTAATTTAACTGTTCTGTTTTAAAACAGAGATGCTCCACTAGAAACTGTCAAAGAAGAAAAACCTTCAACATCAACTGAAACAAAGGAAGAGAAAGTGAGTAAAATTTTATTATTTATTAGTATCGTATTTTGAACAAATGGTTTGCTTTGAGAAATGAATTTTCATTGATATGCAGCGTGGAATTTAGCACACATATATCAATTCAAGTTGCCATACCACATAGACACATCGATATGAAACTATTAAAACGAATGCAGTAGTAATAGAAGTGGTCACATTATAAGTAGTATTGTAAAACATTGAGCATAGATAATAGGATTCAAGAAGAAAGAATAAATTAACGGAATAAAAAGTATAAGTATTTCAAGACAGAATGAGGGATTCTGCACGTTTACGATCAATTATGAGCTATGCCGTGCAACATTTCCAACTATTAGTTACGATAATTATGCAAATCCTAACCTGGTGGTTGCTACGTTTGGAGAGGTTACGATTCACCCAAACCAGCAAACGAAACGAAAGTCAGCAACACGACAACAGGATGAGCTAAACTATTCACTGCGCCCCAGCCCTGCTAACTAGAGGGAGAGGACCAGATTCAGTGAAAGGAAAGGTAGGCTTCACAAACAGTCGGAAGCACGGAGAAACAGACACACAACTGGATGGTATATATACAGTATAAAAATGTTCTTGGGAAACATCACAAAATAGCTTATTAAAAGGGGAAATAAATCAGTGATACTTAAGGTCCTCTTAAGTGTGAAATACATCCTGAAGGCAAAAATGGGCGCTCTTGGAGCGGAAATGTGAAATTCAAATTTCCAAAATAAAATTACAAAAATAAGACGTTTATAAAATAATTTCTGGGGGTCTAGAATCTCTAACAATAGTATTCACCTACCTCTACGAGTTCAGCAGCCAATGACTTTATGAACTGATTCCAAGTTTTGATTTTTCTTTCCCTAGCTTTCTTCCAACGTACTCCTTACATAAGCAAATATCATGCGTCCTGGTAGACGTTGGTTAAGGATACGTAATACATCTTGCTCATTCGATGAAGATTCACTAATTCATCAACCGATTTGCCATATTTGCCTAGTGCTCTGCTTTTCATATCAACATAGCTCTCTCAGTGATCCCACCAGTACAATACAAATGCTTAGTAGATACTTATGTTTAAGTACTAGTAACTTAGGAATACCCTCTGCTTCTAAACGTCACGTTATATAGAGAGGATTGTTTAACAGTATACTCGCTTTTTCATTATCAGATGAACAAAGAACACTGAAGGTGACTGAAATTGGTGACAGTCAAACAAACTTCCTGAATACGTTTAATCTATATGTTTATATTTCCAACTCTAATCAACTTATGAGTAATGGAGACTTTGGAACAGGTCGTTCTCCATTATATGTGTAATAAAGAAGGAACAAATCGAGCAAAGAAATTTCTTTTCAATTCGCTCGATTCGTGCCTTCTTTATTTACCAAAATGGGAATTCTCACTATACGTGTAATGGTTTATTTATTCGTACGATGACTACCTACTCTTAATTAGCCCTAAAGGCGTTAGTTATATAAAGGATGTATTTGATCATATGAAATTGCAGATTGAACCCTTCATGTTTAATTATCCTGGTCTTCATAATTCCGTATATAATGATTTAGATTTACACTTATTCATTTGTTTGTTATTATTACCATTTAGGAACCGAATTTTAGTCTACTAAATAATCCAGCTAGAGTAATGCGTTCACAACAAAGATACGTCACCCTTCCTGAATCATCTCGTTATGTAACTTTAAAGCCAATCAGTCAGGTATGTACCCACTGTTTGTACGAGTTTGCTTTTCAATGGATTTATACTTTAAGTTTTCTTTTTATATGTTGGAACAAATACTTTAGTTTTTGAGATATCCTTGTTTTGCAATAATTGATTTTGAAGTGTTGCGTAACCTGCAGATATTTTATAATTAAATGTAATTTTTCTATAGCTAATTTTAAATTGAATTTGTTTTTTCTTCAATAAACAAAGCATTAGTTATTAGTACTGTATTTTACAATTCAGTCTTTCAAGGTTTGGTTTATCAGGTAGCTCGTCAAGAAACGCCTTTCAGTGGAAGTATGTAAAATCTTTTGTTGCAAATTTGTCAAATAAATCTAACTACTTATCCTCAGGTTATTTGGAAGAAGCTACTTTTGGGAAATTCATTTATAAATCGATTTTATCAGAATAAAGTCATAGCAAATACGTGCTACCTCTTCTACGTTATAATTGTATTTCCAAATTTGTTCTTAGTCGTGTTTATCATAGCAAATGAGCCGACTATCTTGTGAATTTAGATTATGCATGTCTAATTTTTATACTTTTTCCTTTATTGGTAAAATAAGTATATAATTTATTTTGAAATCGTTTTTATTTTTGTTGAAGGTCCTTTAAAATTCAATTTTTATAATACATTTATAGGGTGGAATACTGATGGTGCAAGATAAGAGTCCTCAAGATGCAGAAGTTTTAGTTGAAAATGTACTCGGACATGGCCCTACCTTAGAACGATCAGGAGTCGGTGGAGGAACTGGGTCGGCTAGTGGTACAAGTAGCTCTGATCTTGCTGCTGCATTAGGCTCTGGATCTAATTCTAAAACAGAGCTTATTCATGCATCAACCATTGGAGCTTATCTTGACGAGGATGATGATGACGATGATGAGGAAGATGAAGATGACGATGAAGATTCTTCTAGTGATATGCATGAAGAAGATGAAGATGATGATGAAGAAGAGTTTGATGTAGCTGCAGCCACTGTTTCGACTGTTGAAATCGAAGAGTCTGACGATCACGCCTCTAAGGGAGATATAGAAATGAGTGAAAGTAGTACAGATGTGAAACGCGACAAAGGTCGTGGATCTACTTCAAGCCGTCGCGGCAGCAAATCACATGTATCAAGCTCTGAACCAAATCCACCAGAACCGTTTCTATACATAGAAGAAGGCACAACATCGCAAGCAACAACAGTAACAGCAACATCTAGCATTGCTGGTAGCAGTAGTACTAGTAGTAAATCAGACTCCACTGTAGCTACAGACACCTCTTATACTAATGCTAGACAATCACCTCCAACTTCATCCTCCGAACCAATGGATGTTATAATGGAAACTGATAAAGAAGCAGAAAAGAAATCAGATTCTGAATTGGATAGCAAATCAAAAGACAATAATGACAAATAAATCGATAATAGTTTGGTTTCAGTTTTATGTTCAATGCCATGCAAACCTTTTCTTTGTCTTGTTACAATCTCTAGTATTACACTTCTGTACGCATGGAAAATCTGAATGTATTTTTATTCACTTGTTCATTTTTGACTCACTGAATTTGTCTATTTTTTGTCTAAAAACTGATGTGTAAATGTATCAGTTTTGTTTCTCCCAATGATATATATATATATATATATATATATATATATATATATATATATATATATATATACCGACGTTTCAAGTGTTAACTTAATCTGTATAGAAGCTTGAAAATAAGTTTTATCTTCTTGTATTGGTTCTATTAGTCAATTTCTGGGGTGTTAATTTCTGTGCAAGAAATGTTTGATTACTATCATGGAATTACAACTTGTCTGATAGTTTAGACAGTAAACCGTTCAGATTACGGAAAAAAAGTAGTAGAACTATTCTCTATACGCTGATTATAACAGTTTGACTCGTGTATATATAGACTTTTCAGTATTCTCAGATTAGTCAGTCACAACGTAGAACGTGTACGTATGTACTTCGGTCCAATTTTCCACATCCTATTATCACAGAGATGAAGTTTTCAGGCATAATCCCAGAATAGTAGAGGTAGTAACAGTATCAGTGGTAATATGAAAGATGAGGCATCGAAGACAGGACTCGAGAAGGAAATATAAATTAGCGGAATAAAAACAAAAGAAAGTTATGAGAAACTTGGGATCTCAGAATTTGTAGAAAACCAAGAAATAGATGCATCTGTGCCATCGCAAATGATTTTAAGCCATCTCATTCAAAGTCTAACCACTGATTACAATAATTATACAGACCCAAACACGGTAGTCTGTACGTATTAACATGGCTAAGTCCAATTGATAATGACTTCATGCACTAATGCCATGTTTTGGTTTGGCCACCCCTAGCTTTCTTGCGACCTACTCTTGCAACAGAAAACATCGTCCGTTGAAGTAGATGACGGTTGGGCATACGTAACACGTTGCAACCGCCTCAGTTGATAAGTATATACTACTTCATTAGTCGATTCCTCATCCTTACCCAGTACTCTTCCTAACCCAGGCATTGTCTATTTCCGTGGTCTTAAAATATACGAGCAATGCTACTTAGATACCTGTGATAGAATACTAGTGACCTACTAATATTCTCTAATAATATCGATGTTTCATATCCATGAAGTAGAACGGAGAGAACTGCTACTCAGTAAACTCGTCCTTTGTTTCAAACGGATATATACGCTACAAGTGACCCAAGTTGACAAAAGCCAATCGAGCTCTCTTAATCTGTACCAAAATTTCGTCAGACACCAAATCATCAACTACTTCACTCCCTGTCATTAATTCAGGAACTGACCAAAGCCAATCCCGAAGTTACATCTTACATTTGGAGGGAGAGAACCTCAACATAGACATGCTTGCATTGTTGCTTAAGGCTATCAGGAAACATAGCATGTTTTCAGCGTCTTCACCAAACAGAAATATATCACCTGAATATTCCAAGTCAATAAGTGAATTACCTGGTAGGAAATCAATTCTTTAAAGTGTCTATGACTTGGTTATATAACGATAGGGAAGACATACCAAATTGACGAACACTTCTTGAAGTAATCAACTCCGATGGCAGCTCTTCATAAGGTCTGACTCTACCAGTGTTGTTCGAATAGAGACTGCACAAGGTTAGTGCACTTCTTGGTACGCCTTCCAATGACACTGCCATAGAACTTCACGACCATTGGAATCGAACGCCGCCTTTAGGTCAAGGAATGTAACTAGTTGGACGTCGAGAAGTGTTTATGGTCCAAAATCTGCCCAAGGGTGAATATTTCGTCTATACGTCCACGTCTAGGTCTGAAACCAGCCTGGTTTTCTCGGGTTGGCTTTTCACTAGCTCTAGTTAGACGTTGAAGCATTGTTGAGACTATATTTTAAACACCATATTACTTAAACCGACTCCTCTGTGATTGTCTCAAGAGGATTTTTGTCCTTTCTTATAAACTGGGACGATCAGCAATTGAGATCTGTCAGATGGAATTACGTTCAGTTCGCAAATTTTATCTAAGATTTCAGTTAATGTAACTGCTAAGAATGGACCACCATCCTTAAAAATCTCAGGGGTTAGTTCGTCAGGCCCTGTTCCTATCCCTCGCTTTAGATTACTTACAACCTTTTCAACCTCACTAAGAGTTGGAAGATGTACATGAATTTGCCATTCAGGTTGCTTGGTGACAGTGAATAACTGAAGTGTAGCTGGTGACCAGTTGAATTGTTCTCTAAAGTGTTTTACCCATCAGTCCAATCTCCTGGATCGAGGGTGAATAATAGTCCCATCATTTCCCGAGATAGTTTTACTAATAGCCGGGTTTCCAATACCCGCTTCCTTGATAAGTCTGAACAGTTGTCTGTTGTTACCTATCGTTGTTGTCTTTTCCATCCCTTCTGCATTCGCTACCCACCATTTCTCGTAATCATTAGGTAGGCTTTTTATCAGCCCACGTCTAAGCTGCCTCCGCTCCCCATCGTGTTCAGAGTTAGACAGGATGAATATCCGAGCATCTGTCAGCCCTGTAGACTTCGCTGAAATTCACTGATTTTTAATAACCTTTTGGTTTAGGTCACTACACCATTTTAGATATCATATCAAGCTACCTCGAGGTGGATATCATCCTCGAGGTTGACTAGTTCCTTCTCTAGTTGTTCTTGAAATATATTTTCAGCTTTTTTATCATTAACTTGAACTCTAATGGGTTTTTTCGATGTGATTTCCTACTTCCGCTAATTAGTGGTCAATGATAAGTTTAAGGTCATCAATAATCAATCAACATCGAGGTCTACAGAACAAGCTGTGAATCATATGTGGAGAAATTCGAACACCTCATTTTTACCTGAAGTTTGTACTGATGATGTCGTTCAGAACAACGATGAAGGCTTCATAACAAAACCATCCACCTCAAAGAACTAAACTCCACCAAAATCATACACCTGAGCTAAAAATTTTCACCATCTCATTTCACTGTTATGTTCATACTTCAAATTTGAATCTGTGTATTCTCTACAGCGTGGAATTATTCGAATCGTACTCTCTTCAATTCGTTTGCTTCTGTTGTTGCTACCTTGACGTGGTGGTCGGGCTTGCCTATCGTGATGAAGCAACTGAGCTATACTGGCTGGAACAACCGTTCCTCAAGGTCCTACCATGCCAGACAGGTCAGTTGAAGAGCGGTAAGACTAAAAGCAACAAAACCAAGGTCCGAAGGCGAAGTCGTACTGCTGACTGTACAGAGGTGTGACAGCAGTAAGGTGTTTTCTTCAGACAACCAGCATGACAGCGATGCTGCCTTCCGACAAGGAGGGGTGGGGTTAGAAAAGGTCGACTCTAAAAATGCACACCTCGCCTTATCCCACGCATATCCGTCTCCGGCGGTAAGGTCTCAACAAGTACGGAGCTAGCAATAAAAGTACTCATAAAAAGGTCGTGTGTGACCGACCTCAAGCAGCTGTCCCTTGGGCACTGCGGTCACGCTCTCAGGTCACTATGACCACCTCTAATCCAATTTCCTTTTCAGGTACCTCCAGCAGAACCCTTCCACGGTGTGGGCAACTGAGAAGGGATAACCGCCCTCATAACTCTAACAGCACTCAAGACCACTGTATTCATAATCAACCTACCTCTTCAACTCCTATTATTCCTCTTACATCGACTTTCAAATCTAAACTCCCTCTTTCGGCTTCCTCCTCAAGTGACACCACAGCCAACGATTCTAGTGCGCAAAACACTGTCCCAGGTCTACTGAAACCTCGCTCCAAACTACACATTGGAGCCTTCAACGTACGCACACTATGCCAAATCGGTCAGCAGGTTTCCTTGGCTAAAACCTTAGAATCTCGTACGATTGATGTATGCTGTGTCTCCGAAACACGCATACAGGATCCTAGTGTGGTCATTCACTTGACCTCACCTCGGCAAAACGGAGAGCCGACGAGATACACCCTCCGTGTATCTGGCGACCCGATGGCTAGTTCTCGTGGACTGGCAGGTGTAGGCATAGCACTAAGCATGAGGGCGGAACAAGCGCTATTAGAGTGGATCCCCGTTAATAGTCGTCTATGCGCTGTTCGGCTAAACGGCTCCGTAAGAACTCGAAAGGATAGGGACACACGTCGTTGCCTTTTCGTCGTTTCTACCTACGCTCCCACTGACTGCAGCTCGGATGAAGTGAAAGATGAATTTTACAGAAAGCTGTCTGAACCTCTTCAGAAAGCTAAACGTTCAGACATAGTACTCGTAGGAGGTGACTTTAATGCCCAGGTAGGTAGCTTAAACGAAACAGAAAGACATTTAGGTGGGTATTTTAGTATTCCGGCACAGAGAACAGATAATGGTGATCGTCTGCTGCAACTTTGCTCAGACAATCGTTTATTTTTAGCAAACACAAATTTTAAGCATAAGGAGAGACATCGTCTAACATGACGACCTGCTGTACCAAACCAACGATGGACTCAAATAGACCATATTGCCATCAGTCATCGTTGGAGAGGGTCAATAGAAGATTATCGCCCATTCTGGAGTACCTGCTTGGACTCCGACCATGCCTTAATACGAGCACGCATCTGCTTGCGCCTCACTGGACGCAAAAAAGACTCATTAGAACCGAATTGAGTAATAAGAAAACCAAAAGTAGGTTCCAGGAACAACTGAGGTCACACTTAGGTAGTTCTGAAAACGAGGCTGACCCCGATGTTGCTTGGGAAGTTATACAAGCAGCTGTGGAAACAGCAGTGACATCTACTACTGATTTAAACCACAGGGTTACAAAGAACCAATGGATTTCTTCAAGGTCTATTGCACTGATAGATTCTCGTAAACTCATCCCATCAGGTTCTGAACACGATGAAGAGCGTAAAGAAATCAGATCTAGGTTAAGCAAAAGTCTAAGGAATGATCGTTAGCAGTGGTGGGAAACGAAAGCAAAAGAGATGGAAAAGGCGGCGACTATAGGGAACACAAGACAACTCTACAGACTAATAAAAGAAACTGGAATTAAAAAGTCAAGTGTAAGTCAGACTATTTCGGAAAAAGACGACACTCTCATCTGCTCCCAGTCCAGACGTTTAGAACGATGGGCGGAACATTTTAAGGAGCAGTTCAGTTGGCCTCCAGCTACTCTACAACTACCCTCTATTCCCAGACAGTATGAATGAAA